AATTGCTCTTCAAGAGAAAGATGAGGCTTTCTGTTTCTATGAAGATTTACAGTCTTGGAAACCCTGTATCGGGTTGACTTGACTTGATAACAGTGGAGGGGGGAGGGGTGTGATCGATGGCTTCCTGGCTAATCTCTTGAGAATATATTTCATTTGCGGGTGCTATGACCTCTTTGTGTGCTTTTTATCAGACAAATTTAAACTCTCAAAACATCTTTAAGATACTTAGAAGCTTCACTACTATAAAATTATAAGGCTCCCATAAGAGATACTGGTGGGGTTTTTGTTTTGTTTTGTTTTTATCTTTAGAAAATTTTATCTCCTTGCATTTACCCTTCAAAGCCATGCTCTGTAAACCTGGGGGAATTATTACAGTCTGCATTGTAACGTCTGTTACAATCAGCGCACAATTTGAGTCTTAAGTTTATGAATTACTTGAAGCAAATGTAATTGCTTCCCGGAGTTTACTAAATTCTTCAAGAACAGAAATCTGTGTTTCTCTTACTGAACTATACTCCACAATCCTTCATTTTCAACACACTGATCATGTTGTTGTTGTGAACGAACCAATGCATTCTCCACAAGAGTCCCTCAGACTAGTCATGCAGCATAGAGAGGGTAATTTGGAATGAACTTGCACTTGATCCTGCATGATAAACCATGCTATATTCTAAACTCAAGAAATGAATGCCACAAGACAACATTGTCTTGAAATTGTATCTTCACATTGGTTATATATGAGTCAAATTTTTCATGGATGAGGTAACATTATTAATTCTACCTTTATGTTTCTTCTTCATCTTTTTCTATAGTATGGAGGAAATCCCGTGTCTTGTGTTGTGGGTCTGACTGTCTTGGATATAATTGAAAATGAAGACCTTCAAGGAAATGCCACCAGAGTAGGGAATTATCTTACTGAGTTACTGACTGAACAGAAAGCTAAACATACTTTGATAGGAGATATCAGGTATGTGTATCATGATGTCATTATGTAGTTTTCCATTTTTCCAAAATGAGCATAGCTTAGTTTACTTAATGGATCTAAAATCAATTATATAAAAGTAAATCTAAAAATCACCAAAAAATTGTATAAAACCCCAAGTTATTCAAAATCCAGAACTCTCATATCCCTCTTAACATTTGAGGCTATATCCTTCCTAGTTTCTATACTTTTATTTGAATGAACGAATAAATAAACAAACTAGAATCATTTGCTCACCCACAAGATAAGATTGAAAGAGAAGTATGCAGTCATTCTAAATAGTCTGTTTAAATTTATTTTCATGTGGAGCAGAACGCAAAGTCCTAAAAGAGACCAGGCTTACTGGCGAATAAAGACTGAGGGAGCCCCAAGATGATGGCCCCTTCCTGTCGGGTCTACAACTGACCGCTCCGTAAGAATAATTAACCATTGAACCTTAACCATTGAGCCACTACCCGAGGACCGAGTTCAGGGGGTTGGAAAAGAAGGGAGAGTGGAAACAGAAAACACGGGATGGGAGAAGCAATGTTACCTGGAGAGGGTTGGAGGAGATGAAGTGAATCAGCAGGGGTATAAATTGTTGAGCATAAAACAATGATCAACTTTGTAAACCTCTGCCTACTTCATAATAAAAAGTTTAGAGAAGTTTTAAGCGGTCCCCTGGAAAATTAGATTTTTCTCTCCCCATAAATGTAAACAGACATCGTCGTCGTCCTCTTTTGCCGAGGAGGGAGGCCCGGGGGCTTGGCACCCCTGTGAAGAGTCAGTCTCAGAAACCACAGAGGCGGCTCCCCTCGTTGGACGGGGTGTCTAGGAGCTGGAGCACTCTGGTTTGGGTTTTATCTGAAGGAGCTTTACTAAGGGGCATACTGCTAACGCATTTTCTTCTAGAATTAAACGAGAAACAAAATAAACAAGACCTGGATGGCAAAGAACTCGTTTCAAAACCAGAAAGAACTGTGAACACAAAGCCAGTGCCTTGGCTTGGTCAGAATCAATTACAATTACCCTTAAAGGACGTCGCAGCTGGCTCCAAATAAAACTGAAAAACTCACCGCCATCTGGTCAATTCTGCCTCATAATGCCCCTGTAGAGGACAGAGTTGAACTGCCCTGTGGGCTTCCGAGGCTGTAATCGTTACGGGAGTGCCAGGTCTCAGCTTTCTCCCCAAGGAGCGGTTGGTGTGTTTGAACTACTGAACTTGAGTTTCGCAGTCTAACTCCTAAACCGCTATGCCACGAGGGTTCCTAGAAACTTGGGCAGAGTGCTAATTCTGTTGTTCTTGTGAACAGTGCAGAGCTTCCTAGAGCGTTTGTTGAGTGTTCTATTTCCCCACCCTCAGGGGCATTGGCCTGTTTGTTGGGATAGATTTAGTGAAGGACCAGCAGAAACGGACCCCTGCTACCGCCGAGGCCCAGCACGTCATCTACAAGTAAATCCACCCCATGCCAAGGTCCAGCCACTTGATACCCCATTTTCACTTACTCCCATGTCCAAACACAGGGGGACTTAAGGCACGTGCTAACTTTAAAAGTGGGTTTCCTGCATGCAGAACACCTCGCTTCTTTGGCTTACGTAGCTCTTGAATAACTAGCCTTTGTGGG